AACGAAACCTAACGTTTTTAGTTTTTTTAGAAGGAGGGGTGACTGATCTTCCAGCAAATGATGCAGTTTGTCTCTGCGTCACATGAAAACGGTTTCTAGTTTAAAAAAAATTCAGGCTTTTTGTGGTAGCTGGAAAAACTTAAGCCCAGAGGGTATAATCAAAAGAAAATAGATAAAAACAAAACTCCCAAAAAGGAATTGAGGAAGTTTTCCTGGGGGATTTGAACTGAATGTTAAAAACTATTTTACAGTTTTCAAGTGTACACAAATGCTCATTAAGAGGTGGAAAGTTATTACTTAAATAGAAACGTCATATTAGATAGTCGTTATGATGCATGCTAGTCTAGTCATCTAAGTGTTAGACCCCATTCATGTCCTTGTATTTGCTCTCGGGGGAGGGCTTGTGGAACCAGACCCATAAAGTTCCTATTGTTCTAAAAACAGAAACATTTGCTGGAGAAGAGTTTAGCTGAGATCAGCAGCGGGGGAGCCTCCCATTGACCAGTTCTGCTCCTATCCCTCTGTATTGCAGCGCTGCTGTACATTGCAATTGTGGGACTTTGCTTTTCACAGGAAAAATCTGGCTGGACTAAGTAGAGGATGTAGAACATTGTGAAGAAGGAAGGACTGGTGAGCAGAGAATTGAAGTTCGACAAGTTTGTAGCCAATAATAGCCATGTTCCCCGTGTGTGATAACGCTGCTTTGGACTTAGTTACTTTTTACACGCTTGGATTAAATCTTCTTAGGTTTCGCAGAATGTTTGTCCCGGACTTTCATTGGCACAGGAGTGTGTGTATTTGAGTCTTCCATTGTTGTCTGTCAGGGCTTCATGGTGGAGTTTATGATGTACATGTGCACATTGGCGAAACACTGGACTTTGCAAGGTGACTCCTGCAGTTCACTACATTTTCATCTCATTTTAGGTAAAAAGGTTCAGTTTCGTAAGCCTGCACCAGGAGCTTCCGATGCTGTTCCCGCTAGGAAACGGCCAACACCAGTCAACCTCGCTAGTGCAATAAAGAGAGGCAATAGTGCAATTTCTCAGAGACCCTTCAAAGATAGAGTTGTGCACTTATTGGCACTAAAGCCTTATAAGAAACCTGAACTTATTCTCAGATTGCAAAAGGATGGACTTTCTCAGCAGGACAAGGATTTGCTGGACAGCCTCTTGCAACAGGTTAGTTTGCCTAAATCATTAAGACACATGTGGTGTCATAATGTTGGCAGATTTTCTTAGTCCATATTTAAACTGCAGCTTTAATGTGATCCATAGATGAATTTTCTTTAATGGCCGAGCCCGGTAAGAATCGACTAAGGGATAGGTTGCGGTGTTACATTGGCTTTTCTAGAGAGACATTAGCAGCCCCTCAACATTTTCACTTTCAGGGGTTTATAACCAATTTGTATAAATTATCTACCAAATTAGGACAGACATTTTGGTCACTTCCGCACTTTCAAATTGCATTGCAGTATATTGGCTATTTAATACCGAACTGTGATCTCTCCTTGTTTTTATGGCTTTGTGGCAAACATGTAACACTCGAGTGTGAATTGATATGAGCTATGGTAGATAGGGTTCAGAGGTGTTCATAATACATCCAAAACAATAATGTCAATAAATTGGCATATGCAATATTTTCCATCCAAAAGAGAAAATATATTCCCTGCTCACTGTGTCCCTCAGCTTCTCTCAAATCATGCCTTTACTGCTAAAGAAATGTATTAAATTGTTTAACTCTGAAGATCATGCAGCTTCTTGCTAGACATGTTCTCATGTATGCCAGACGTTAATGCTTGTCTTCCAGTTGTACCAATTCAGTAATACCAGCCTGAATACTCCGACTTTATTTGTGCTAGCTGAATGTGCCATTTGTAATAATTATCTTTACTGCTTTTATAGTATTTACATTTTCAGAGCACATTACCAATATTAATTAAACCCCACAACATCCCTGTCTTTTAGGTATTGGAATTGTTAACCTTCATCTGTAGCTGGTGAGATTGAGACAGAGAGGTGAAGTCGCTTGTCCAAGGGCATACAGCAAGTTATTAGCCAAATTAGGATTGTAACTCTGGCATTACTGGTTCTCAGTCTGGATTTTAATCCACTAGAACTACTGCCTCAATGTTCAGTACCATTCTGAGTTCTTTTTAACCTCCTGAATGTCTTAATGTTGTGTAACTTCAATGAACAGTGTCTGCTGTAATCTTTTACTAATAATGTCACAAACCTCTAGCAGGTTGCAACTATGTATAGTAGTCACAACACTACTAACATGATTAGGATAATTCTGGCTTGGCTGGAAATTATCACTTGTAAATGTATTACCTCTCGGCAGCAGTGGTGCTCCCATCCTCAAGCAAACACAGATAAGCTACAGAACACAGGCTGTGTTAACTTCTTGCCCAAATGTGTCTGGGTGTCAGTTCATTATGCTGTTTTATCTACACAGGACTGTGCTAGTATTGAATGTACAGTCTAATTTCTCAAAAGATACTACTGGGGGAATGGAGTGTGCACGTCCCAGGAGCTGCGGTGTTCCCCGGACTTGCTGATGTGGAAAGCAGTTAAAAAAATCCTGAGAACTTTTTCTGAGTAGATTATAAAACCTTCTGAGCAGGGCCTGTCTGTACAGTACCTGGCACGCTGTTGGTGCAACAGGGAAAAATGATCTGGGTATTGATAGAAGATATTTTGGGGGAGTTTCTGAAGCAGAAACTGGCTTTTTGTTTCCCTTATTTTTTTCATATTGGACATTACTATGTGATTTAAATGTAACGTACATTGTAATTCATCTTTTGCTTGGCTCACGATTTTGAAACATTGATAACTGAAAGGAAAAACAAAATTTGTCATGTAAACTGACAATTGTATGTTTATCTCTCATCTGCAAAATGTGCAATATTCAGTCCTTGACTAGAACTTTAGATGAGATTGTCACATAGTGTTTCTTGTTAGATGTCATCTTTCCTGCTCCTTCACTTTCTGTTTTTTATGGGGGTAATTTATCGTTTCGTGAGGATAATCTAATAGCACATTTCATACAGTGTGCTGTCAAGATGATTTACAATCCATAAAGACAACCTAAAATGTAACCGCTTCTACTGAGCTCTGTAAACCCTAGAAAACATGTTTAATCTCAGACTGATAAATAGTATCTCCACTGACAAACTAAGAGAACATGTCCAAATTTAAAGTGCAGCCTATTTTAGAACAGGGAACTAAGAACCCATGGAATTTGAAACTTTTCCTATCTTTGCCTATTTGTAAACATGACATTGCACAAGTACTTAACATATGTGCCTCAGTTTCCCTTTCTGTAAAAGTGAGCCTAGTACTTCATCCCATAAGTGAACTGTGATCCTTGACTGTTGCTTTGGAAAGTGCTTTGCAGTCCTCTGACAGGCTGTAGAGACTTGTAGAGTATTTACAAAGGCATGATCCCTGGATGTGTAAGAGTTACTAATAAATTTGTATGAACCTTGTATTTTTCAGATGAGAAGGTAATTGCAGCTCAGAGATTAAATTTCAGTCTGACTGGTGAAAGATGAATTACAGGGGGGGGACCAAAGTTGTTTCCATGCTGAGATGTTTCTGTTGGCTCCAACAGAGTTGCTCATTAGGCCTCGAATGGTCTCTGTGTATAGGAAATCTCTCAGTGATAGGTTCTGTCAAAATGCAAAAAGCTTCCCAAGGTCATGTGCTGTATTAGTTACAGAATATGATTATTGGGTGAGGTGATTATTTTGTTAAGCTCTGGAGTACAAGTTATTAATGGTAGGTTTTGCTTTCTCTCCTCGTAGTAGCTGTCAACATGACCGCTTCTTCTTCTCCCATAAAACTAAGCAGGTCAATTTAACTCGAAGTATATGCCATAAAACCACATTGCGAGAACCCTGAAGTATCGAGGGAAGCATTCTTTCTCCTGCCCTTCCAGACTATTACATCTTTTTCTGTTTTTAAATACTCCTCTCTATAGTGGGAAACTTTGTCTTCAGACAGCTGTGAACAAAGCTGTCACCATAACAGTTTGTATATCAGTTAATATGCAGCTTCATCTTAGGTGTTGGACAGCCTTGATAAATTGTCTGCCTGTTCCCAGCAGGGTTTATTTCCAGATGTTTCCCTTAGCTCACGTTGGAGCAGCCCCAGATTATTTTGTGTCCGTATTGAACGGCCATTTGTAGTCTCCTTAATTTTTGTACTTGCATCTCAGTATAATTTGATATGTATTTAATAAACGAACATTTGCTGGGGCTCCTAGGTGCTAATAATATTGTGCTGCCACTGTACACAAAAAAGAGAGTTGGATAAATAATTTGGAAGCAAATATTAATCCTGGTGCTTATTGACACTTCTGACTAGAACTGGTTCAGTCAGTCTGCTGCAGCTTTGCATCCAGATTTTTTTTTGTAAAAATGTGTGAAAGTGAAACCCTAATGGTTTCTTCACAAATTACTTTTCTATTTCAGGTGGCAAATCTGAGTGCCAAGGACAGCACTTATACATTGAAAGATTGTATGTACAAAGATGTACAGAAAGATTGGCCTGGCTACTCGGAAGGAGATCAGCAGTTACTGAAGAGGATACTTGTTCGGTAATTATTCCACACTTTTTGTGCTAGCTGGATCTCTGACTAATCTACTCATTTGGGCCTATAAATTGTGAGCCAGATCAGCTGGTGTAAATCAGGTAGCTCAGTGAAGTCAATAGAACTATGTCAAGCAGATCTGGTCCATAGTGTCAAATATTTGGGATTCTAACATGCAGCCTATTTAGTCTGCTACTACATTTGGCTGGTGAATGTGCTCAAGAACATCAAAACTGTATGCAGTCCCTATTAAACTTAGGAATTTCACAAGTTACGTGTCACTGTCTTCTTAACCAATGAAAATGCAAGCCACGGGAAAAATATGGGAGGAAAGAAAAGGTCATTCCTTAGATGGGAAGTTAACGATTGTTTAAACTCTGGAACAGAATTTAGTTAGTGAGGGTATGTAGTTCTCCATCAAATTTGGCTCTTCATTGAATGTCCCCTCTCCTTCTCTGCCTCTCCCCTTACATGTCACTTTGTTGCCTTGCTGTCCTCTGTGCACAGACTTCTGTTAGGTTTCAGAGTAGCAGCCGTGTTAGTCTGTATCCGCAAAAAGAACAGGAGTACTTGTGGCACCTTAGAGACTAACAAATTTATTAGAGCATAAGCTTTCGTGGACTACAGCCCACTTCTTCGGATGCATATAGAGTGAAACCTGAGGACAGGTTATCCAAGGATGTGATTTCCCCCCTTCTGCCCTGAGCATGCTGCTTGGCTACTGTGTTCCCTGCTCTTTCTGGACATTCCCCTCCCATTAGTGGCTGTGTCTTTTTATGGCAGCTTCTATTTTAATCCTCTTGAGCTGTGTGTACAGGTTTTGGTGTTTAACATAGATTGTTCCACGTAGAACAATTTAACACACTTTGTGTCCAAACACAAGTCTTTCAATTGTGTGTCTACTATGCTACAGTTTGTGTCAGGTAACCTAGGGTCACCCTAGGGTTAACGGTGACTCAGGATCAATCACATTAAACCTCAAGTGGATGGAGATTAAAGCAAACAAGGCAATGTAGCTCTGCATATGGCAGCCATCCCCCCCTCTGCCCATTTACCTAGCCTTCACTGCCCAGGTGTCCACCTGGACAGAAGCCTCTTACCTTGTACATTTCCCTATTTACTAGCAGCCCCTCATAGAGCCAGCTAGGATGGCTTCTCTGTTTCCAGCTGTTTTTTCAGGCCTTTGAGTTTTGCCTCATTAAAGCCTGTGGGATTGGAACCTCTGTTTGGCAGGCAGAAAGAGTGAAAGCTTGTTTATTGCTGGGGGTGGGCAGTGAGCAGACTATTAGAATCTGTCCACTTCATCAGGTACCTGTCCCTAGAATTGAAAGTCTCCCTCAGTCTGGGAGTTCCCAGAAGAGACTCTCATCCTCCCTGTACTTTGCAGCTATACCCCTTAAATTACAACGAGCCCTACAGATCTTTCAGGGGACTCTACTCTGTTCTATAGGTTTATAGTCCCACTTCTGGTTTCTGCATGTTTTTCTCAGTCTGTACTGTTCGTTGTGCAGGTAGAGACTTGATTTGGACTTGTTTTGAGACTTATTTCTGTTGTGATTTTGGTTAATATAAAATACAGCTTTTTGTTTGAACAGTTTCCATGGTTTGAAAGCACAGTTGGCTTGAAGATGAGACTTTTTAAACCAACAAAGTCTGTAACACTAAATGTTCTTTGGCATACTTGGGAAAACTCAAACTGATGTGTTGTAACCAATTTAAACATCCTTCACGCTGAATTATAGTTAAATGGAAAATTACAACTATCCACACAGTCTGTATGGCTTTAAAAAAAAAAAAAGTTGATTCTTCCTAGTAGAGAAGTGTTTACTGCTTTTCTCGAATTGTGGCATTCAGTTATGCAGAGATCTAAAAATAGACCCTGGAAAGGATGTATTCAACTGTACAAACAAAGACCTGCTCAGCCAATGCAGGTAATGAGACTACAAAATGGAAAAAACATGTAGAATTGAAGCTGGTAGAAAAACACTCTCCAAGAGCACAGACACCAGATGCAGGGTTTTAGAGTTTTGCCATGGTAGCCTCAGTTGCTGCTTAGTTCTGTCCAACTGTTAAATATCCTTTGACACCACTCTAGCTCCTTGTTTTTATGCTCACGAAACACTTGGGAATTGCTTTGCTAACCCAGCTTTAGACATTTTAAATGGTTTCTAACAAAATTAATGTTGGGTTGATTTGCTTTTTGCCGTGCTGCTTCCTTTTTCCAGCCTCCCTGCTGTGCTGTAGCGCAGGCTTTGAAGACCACGTCTATGCTCTGGGCCTTAGAGCAGCATAGCAGTGGCACGACAGCTATGCTGCAGGAAGCGCTAGTGTAGATGCAGACTATCACAATGATAGGGGCCTGGCTGTCTCTCTAGGAACTCCACTTCCCCAAGCAACAGGAGCTAGGTCTAGGAAGCATTCTTCTGCCGACCTAACTGGGTCTACACCGGGTTAGGTTGGCGTAGCTCCGGTGCTTAGGTGCAAATTCTTCACACCCCTGGCCCTGAGCAGGTAACTATGTCAGCCTCCGTTTTAACTGTAGGCCAGGCCTGAGTGTTCGCAACTTATACTGTGCATTGGATTCAGTGGCTTTATCCCTTTCGAATACCTTTCGTTTCAGTAAAGAAAGGGGTTCTGGAATTGCTTTTGTTAACTAGTTTAGGAGGTGAATTCGTCCTACTTGAGGCTAGTCAATGAGAAACTGACTTTAAAAAGGTTTCAGAGTAGCAGCCGTGTTAGTCTGTATCCACAAAAAGAACCAGGAGTACTTGTGGCACCGTAGAGACTAACAAATTTATTAGAGCATAAGCTTTCGTGGACTACAGCCCACTTCTTCGGATGCACAGAATGGAACACATAGTGAGGAGATCTATATACACATACAGAGAACATGATTGTAATCTATATGCATTGCCGCTAGTCCCCTTCATAGGTGTACAAATTACTGTCCACTCAAGCATGTTTCTTGAGATGACCGTTACCACTGAGGCATGGTCGTTTGGTTTATATTGTCACTTCATTTAGTTTAAATCTCTTAATTAAGAGCATGTGGCTGCTGAAGTGTAATCAAAGCTTCAGGTTAGGGAAAGAAACAAGTTCCTCTGAAATTTTGCAGATATCTCTGTTGTTGTCTTCCAAATTTGCAAAATAAATAACTTCAGTTAAAAAAAAATAACATTCTTCAATTTAAAACTATGTACTGAATCATTTTATGGGAGAACTTAGATTTTGGATACTTAACATGGGCATGTGGGTTGTAGAACTGCTACAGTAAAACCTTTGTTCTAAATCCTCTTCCGAGTTAACTTCTTTACAGATGCAACCTGATTCAGTAGAAGACATTTATTTCCTGAGTGATTTAAGACATGGGTTCTCTGACTCATGCTGGAAAAGTCCCCGGGCAAAGTTAATGTTCTCTGAAACTTACTCTGGTCACTATGGAACTGCATAGAAAAATAAGATTGCTAAATCCATCCACCTTCTTTTAAGTATCAATCAAAGTGAACTGTAGTATCTTGTTTTGATGCAAGAGGTTGCCATTTTATTTGAGACAATACTGTAAGTGCAGCACTTGGCGCAATCGTCTGGGAGGTGCAAGTTTAAAGGGTGGGTATTATGGAGCCTTAAATGTGCCTGGTGCATAACAAACCAGTGAGGTTCTTGTCAGAGATACCACTCTTCTCCCCCTTACCATCCCAATGGTTCACTTTTAAGGGATAATTGTCCCACCCTCTGTGGACTAAAATGCTCTCCTAAGGGGGAGATATTTACTCCATTTAACATTTGAACTTGCCTTCAAAGCAGGGACCCAGTAAGAATGTCTCTGCTTTGATTAATTTTTTGTAAGACGACCTTAACCCTACAAGACTGAAAAACGATTGAAAAGTCAGTGAGAATCTAAACGAATTCTGATTACTAAAGGGCATCCATCAGTCGTCAAGCACTAGCTAGAACACTCTGTGGCCATCCAGTACAGTCACTTGACTTTTTAGTTTTAATATAAATGTTTTATCTGACATGCCTCAGGAATAATTTTGTTAGAGTAGAATGAATTTCTACAGTAGCAATATTTAGGTCTAGGCATCAGGGAAAACAAGCCAAAGGGTAAGTGTGTAGACAATAAGCTACCTCCCCATCAGGGAATGCTGACCCCAGTCTCGCAGGCAGGGGTACTCACTGCTCTATTGTCTCGACCCCTGGGGGCACTACATGGGCCTGTTCTCTCACGATGAATACGCCAGTGGTGGGGAAAGAGGGAGATTCCTCCAATATTTCGGTGCCTCAGTATTTTACTGGTCAAAGTTTTGTATGTCTTGAACTTTGTTTCCTTTCCAAGAGGTTTGACTCGTCTGGGAATCTCCCTTTCCCTTTGTAAGGGCAGAGTAGCCGCTGTCCCTGAGGTAAGGAGGGCTTTCTCCCACACCAGCTATTGCTGCTTACAGAATTTGTCGGAGTTGGAATGCTAAAGTCCCCACTGGCCCTTAGAGCTTGCAACTACTTTTGCCACTAGACCTCCAGGCATTGCACGGGATTATCAAACATTAGCTTTCCTATGGGTGCAGATTTACTGAATAACTTTCAGATGATCCTCTCATGCTAGTGGAGAGTCTTCAATGACACCTGATGCTTTTTTGTCCCTCGGGTACAGGGTCTAAACCACCATACATTCTGTTTTTCAGGAAACTCTGTCAGCCCCAGAATGTTAGCAGTTTTGTGGGAGACACTCCTTCCTTGAGTCCCCCAAAAGACAACGTGAACTCCTCTTCCCCTCCTCAGGTAGGTGGGTGAACTGCCGGGGCTAGTATGTGGGGTAGCTTGGTGTCTGGTGATTAGCACAGGGCCCAGAGCCTGGAGCCGCCACAGTCTAAACCCAACGACTGGCTCAGTGTTGGGCGTTGGGAAGGTGGTTCAGCCTCTGCTTGCCCATTTGTAAAACTGGACATCATTACTGCACAAGGGTGGTGAAGATTAACCGATTATAAAACTTTGTACAAAGTTAGAGCATTATTGTGAGCAGCACATGAATCCAGTTCCCCTCCCAAAATGCTGTGCTGTCGGTCTGTGTGGTTCAGCAGCCAGCAGTCTGTAAGATTCTTAACCTCGCCTCTTAAATGCTTTGGAATGCTTATTGAAATCCTGTGGCATTTCTGCTTCTCTGGGACTAAATTTTCAAAAGTGTTTACCAATAATTTAGAGCCAGCCAGTAACGACCAGCTCCCAAGCACAACTAAGGGCTTGTCTACATGCAAGGTACTATGTGGCAAGTCAAGGTGTGAATCTGTAGTGTAACGTCCCATGTCGAGACTGGTGCAGCACACTCTGGGACTTCCACTGTGCTTGCTGTGTACCTCATTCTCAAATTGAACTTTTTCTAAAATAGGAGTATTTATCTAGTATGTTTCATCCAAGAAAATCAAGGTGGTGTTGGCGTTAGCAATAATATAGGCCTTAGTTTAAGGTGAGTAAAAATTGGCCATTCTTTCTTTGGTTTGTTTTCATCTGTCAGGATCTGCAGGCACCAGAATGTGTGGGGCACACTTATTGGGGGTTGCTTGTAGTCGTCTTCATCATCCCTCCCTCTATCTGCACAGCCCTGCACCTTGTAGCAAAGAGGTGGTAACAGTATTGAAAAGCCACCAGGAGACATTGAGGAAGTGATGTGGTTGCCCCATAAATCCTTGGCAGAGTGCATATTTCCTCTCCACATCCCTCCTGATTGTAACTAGTCTGGAAAGCAGGACTTCCTGTCACTAAGCATTCTTGGGCCTTCGCGAGTTGGCAAATGCGGGGAATTAACTGGAAGAAGAAAGCTAATCGGATGATTTCCATCAAAGGAGCTGAGATTCCAAATGGACTTTGAGGGAACAAAAATTCCACTTGCAAACACCACAATGCTGTCTGAGACAGTAAGGACAATCATTAAATATCCAAAAGAAACGCAGTCAAAACTATCCCCAGTATTCCAGTAGGTGCTAAGTAATCCTGCCTCAGACTCGGTGTAGCCTTTTGCAGCAAGGCAAATGTACACTGTGGTACTGAAGGCTATCCAAGGTAATTTGGCTGCCTCTGAAACTGGATTTGGGCTGTCAGCCATAGCTTCTGGCTCCAAGCTAAGCTTTTTGTACATTGACTGAAGAAAGGTTCTTTCACAGTGTAACTCCTCCTAAGCTAACCTGTGGCCCCCCCGAACAGCCACCTGATTTAAGATGCAGATGTGGTTAGTTACCCTCATCCATCAGCAGTGGATTTATCACTGAAAAGCATTTTCTCAAAGCATTATCTTCAGAACTCCATCCCAATAGGTCTGAAAGGGCAAGTGGAAAATTCCTGCCTTCTCTCTACTTCCAGCCTGCCAGGAGTTTTCCATATGTCAGTAGTGCTTAAGATTAAGTGCCTAAGTTTCAGCATTTCTCTAGCATCTTTCGTACTGTGAACTCACAGTTCTTTACAAACATTCAGCCTTGGGCCCACTTCGCCTTCCTTGAATTCTTTTGAGGTGGGGAAGGATATCACCCCTATTTTATAGAGGAAGAGACTGAGGCACAAAGTTCAACTGACTAACCAAAGGCCACAGAGTAAGTCAGTATCAGTCTGGAGTAGTATCCAGAAATCCTGACTCTTGGAGCTCTAACCACTGAATATGCTTTCTCCTTTGCCATTATCCTACATTGGTGTTTTGCAAAAGCAGCATCTTTGGCAAATACTTATTGGAAATGCTCTCCAGACAGAAGAGATTGCAGCCCTCTGTTTTGTTAGTATTCTTCCATTACCCCTTGCATGGGGGTAGCTTTGCTCCCACCGGGGGAAATTTTGAAACAAAAAGGTTGGAAAGAGACTGACAGGGCTTGGTTTGGGCTTCTACAGGAGAGGAAGAGAGCAGAGTAGTACCAGTAATTACTTTTTAGGACCTGACCCCTTATAGCTTTCTCTATCCACTTGCTCATGCAGCCTCTCTGGGCAAGGGCCTTCTAGTCCTGTGTAGCACTCCCACTCCTTTTTGTGTGGCTGTGCAGTTATCATTAGGGTCTCTAAGAGAATTAGCTGCTTGGGTAGCAGAATCCAGTTTCTCCTTGTATTAGATTGAGGGCTGGCAGTTTATACTCTAAGTCACAAGCCTATGTCCTATCTGGGGTCTCCGGTGAGACAGCTTGGTGGATTTGCATTGGATTCATAGATTCTAAGGCTAGAAAGGTCCATTGTGATCATCTGGTCTGATCTCCTGTATCACACAGGCCAGAGACCTGCCCCTAAATAGTTCCTAGAGCCGAGCTCGTAGAAAAACATCCAATCTGGATTTAAACACTGCCAGTGATGAAGCATCCCCCACGAGCCTGGTTAATTACTTTCACTGTTAAAAATGTATGCCTTATTTCCAGTCTGAATTTGTCTCGCTTCAGCTTCCAGCCAGTGGATCACGTTAGACCTGTCTTTGCTAGATTGAGGAGCCCAATATTAAATGTTTGTTCCGCATGCAGGGACTTGTAGACTGTAATCAAGTCATCCCTTAACTTTTGTGTTAAGCTAAATAGAATGAGCTCCTTGTGTCTATCCAGGTCATTAATAAAAATGTTAAATAGCATCAAGCCAAGAACTGATCCCTGTGGTAACGCACTGAGACACAACTGCTAGATCGGGGTAGGCAACCTATGGCACGCGTGCCGAAGGCGGCACACGAGCTGATTTTCAGTGGCACTCGCACTGCCCAGGTCCTGGCACCGGTCCGGGGGGCTCTGCATTTTAATTTAATTTTAAATGAAGCTTCTTAAACATTTTAAAAACATTATTAACTAAACTATTGTTGTATATAAAGTAATATATTATAGACTTATAAAAAGAGAGCTTCTAAAATCTTTAAAATATATTACTGGCACGCAAAACCTTAAATTAGAGTGAATAAATGAAGACTCAGCACTGAAAGGTTGCCGACCCCGTGCTAGATGATTCCCGGTTTACAATTACATTTTGAGACCCATCTGTTAGCTATCTTTTAATCCACTTAATGTGTGCTACATTAATTTTACATCGTTGTGGTTATTAATCAAAATGTCATGCAGTTCCAAGTCAAACACCTTACAGAAGTCTCATCAACACTATCACCTTTATTCACTAAACTTGTAATTTCATCAGAAAAAGATATCAGGTTACACAAGATCTATTTTCCATTAACCCCTATTGACTGCATTAATTAGATTACCCTCCTTTTATTCTTTAATTGAGACCTATATGTTACCAACAGGCCTAAGATTATCTGGGTCATCCTCTTCACCCTTTTTAAATATCGGCACAACATTAGCTTACTTCTAGGTTTCTGGAATTTCTCCAGGTTCCAGTACTTATTGAAAATCAACTTTAATGTTCAGCCAGCTCTTTGAAAACTCTTGGATGCAAGTTATCTGGACCTGCTGATATTAGAAATGTCCAACTTTAGTTGCTACTGTTTAGTATCCTCCTGAGATACTAATGGAATGGAAAGTTATAATATGACTTCATCTGTTTTTTTCCCCCATATACAGAACAAGAATGTTTGATTATCTTTATTGAATGCCTTTTCTGCATTGGGCCGCTGGCCAAAGTACTTTATTTTATTTTATTTTATTTCTTTTCTAGGGACTTTTGTTTGCTTATTGATACAGCAGTGCCACCTACTGGTGAAGCAGAGTACTTAAAGCAAATGACTGATTTGAAATCACTGTCTTGTTAGTCTTTAAAAGAATGTTTTTCTTTGTCCTCAGAAACGATCCCAGCCTCTGGAATTCATTGATCCACTAGCCAACAAAAAGCCTAGGATATCTCACTTGGCCCATAGAACTCAGCCCACTTTTAATGGGAAACTGAACTCCTCGAACGGGAAAGATGCACCTGCTCCTGCCGTGCAGTCGGCTGTGGCCGATTCTGTCAGCTCCGGCTCTCACTTACCAGTTCTGGAGCTTCCAAGGCCTCATGACCCCCTTTCTGATGTCAGCAGTGACCTAAGTCACAATGGCAGAGACTGTGAGAACCCAGAGGCAACTGACAGATTGACTAATACTTTGTCAACAGACTGTCCCCAAACGAGCAAACACAACTGTAGCTCACTGTATGTGAAAACAAAGAAAAAATCCAAAAAGCACAAAGAAAAAGAGAGAAAAGAGAAAAGTGAAGAAAAATGCAAAGAGGAGAAGCAGGACTGTGAACTAATCAAGAAAGGTGGCTTAAAAACGAATACCTCCAAGGGTGTCGCAGGTATGTGAATTCTGAAACTCTTTGCCTGCCTGTACGAACAAATGGCTGCATGGAAAATATCGATTGTATGGTGAGTTTAGAACAGAAACAGTGTCCTGCCTATAGATCCAAGGCCAGAGACTGTGCTAGTGAAACTCTCTCACTATCTCTATCTAGATCAACATATGGGCTTTTCTGTGCAGTATATCAAGGTTTTCCTGTTTAATTTTGATTTTATACTGTTTTGGAATCTACTTCTGATTTCTGTCAAGTTTCTCCTAATTAAATTAAAAGCCTTGTATTAGTACATGGATAGTCATTCTGGTCTGAATACCAGTTTGTCACTGATTACTTATAGCTGCCACTCTATTTCCCAACGGATTTGCATTTTCATATTGTTGATCATTGTGTTGATTTTAACTCCATAATGGAAAAACTAGTCACATCAAAGGCATTAAAAGCCTTTGTGGATACAATGTTGGATACAACAGAAGCTGTAGATAAACTTAACATGATACCTGTTGTTGTTAGGACTCAGACAGTATAAGCTTTCAAGCTAATAAAGTTGATTGTTATATCTTATTTACCTGATCTAATTTTCTCAAGGATCATCAAAGCTACCAACATCTCAAGTGTTAAAAAGGAAGAATGGAAAAAACAACCCCAATACAGAGTTTCAAAGATTACTTGCTGCGTAGATTCACAGAAATTATGTGGGAAAACATCTGTTGGCTAATCTAGTCCATTCACCTGCTAGTGCAGTCATGTTTCCTGTTTGCTACTACTTTGTCAAGTCTAATTTATAATGTCTCAAGTAATATTGCTTCTACTGCAGCCATGGAAAATAGTAGTTCAAGGCTCATAGATCTGTCACTAAATTATACATTACATCCAGCCTTTTTTCATTAATTTTACCCCATTACTTCTAATTAAACGCCATTTTTAACCACACTAAATCCTCTCCAACTTTGATGCATGGGAATGCATATACCTTCCTTTCTTTTGAGTAGAGTTTATCTTTTACAGGAGATCATTCTATTTTTTACTTGTATTTGGGCTTTAACAGAATGTAACTGTTTTTGATAAAGGGACACACTTGTTTTAGAGAATGAACTTCCAGTTCAATATGGGGTGAACTCAATCGAGAAGATATTAAATCTCATGATTTCCCGTCCTAGCCAGCGCAGTTCATGTACACAGGATCTGATTGCTGACAAGTGATTTCAACTGCTATCGTGTAGGCTGTTCTGACAATTATAAATGGGGAAGGTTTTGGTACTTCAGGATGCTTTCCTGGTACGCTTTCCTTCGCCTTAAGGAAGTCTTGGTACAGCCTCCGACAGGAATGTATCTTAAAAGGGAAAATTGGGGCAGCTCATCCTAGGACTGGATTTATTACTTCAGACGTAGCTTTGGGATAACTACTCCAGAGGAATTTTAGGGGGATGAAAACACCAAAGTAGTTGTAGCTGATGCTATAAATGTGGGTCTTGGGGAATATGCTACCATTTCTATGTAACTCATTTCTGTATTACAAGATCAATATAGAGTCAAGATTCTACTTGCTTTGCTGACTCATTTGCTTTGAAGCACATTGTACTTCTCCAAAATAGGATGAGTACACCCTCAGTTCTGTGGCTTTGAAGCCACCCCCATTTGCCTCTGCAACTTGCTTCTTCCTCTCAGACTGCAGCTGACTTCCTAGTAGGGCCAATCAGAGCATTGCACACTTCTCACCTTTCAAGTTAATTTCCCGCTGCTTATGGGGTATCCTCCCCTGAGGTGGTCATAAGAACATAGCCATACCGCATGCCAGTGGCCAGATGCTTCAGAGGGAAAGAACAGCAGAGGACAGTTTTCAGTGACCAGTTACTGATCCATGAGAGGATAACTTATCCCATGACTGCTTGATTTGCTTAAGAGCCTTTGCTGAGGAACCTTGTCAAAGGCATTCTGAAAGTCCAAGTACATTGTTTCGACTGGATTACCCTTGTCCACATGCTTGTTGTCTCCCTCAGAGAATTCTAATAGATTGGTGAGGCATGATTTCCCTTTACAAAAGCTGTGTTGACTCTTCCACAACAAATTGTGTTCATCAGTATGTCTGATCATTCTATTCTTTACTGTAGTTTCAACCAATTTGCCTGGTACTGAAATTAACAGTATCGGCGGCCTGTAATTGCTAGGACCACCTCTGGAGCCTTCTTTACAAATAGGTGTTATATTAGCTACCCTCCACTTACCTGGTACAGAGACTGATTTAAGTGGTAGGATACATACCATAGTTAGTAGTTCTGCAATTTCACATTTGAGTTCCTTCACAACTCTTAGGTGAATATTATCTGGTCCTGGTGACTTATTAGTGTTTAATTTATTAATTTGTTCCAAAACCTCCTCTAATGACACCTCAATCTGGGACAGTTCCTCAGATTTGTCACGTGAAAGGAATAGTTAGTTATGTGTTCAGCTCAGATTGAAGTCAAGTCTACCTTGGACCTAAATCTTACGCCTGCCAAGATCTGGTGCCATTCTCTTACCCCAAGAAAACCTTATGGGATTTTTAGGTGATGTCTACACTGGCAATTGAACGACAAAACTTTTGTCTTTCAGAGGTGTTATCCCCCCTCCCCCGAAAGACAAGTTTTGCTGTGACGAGCGCCAGTATGAACAGCGCATTGTCGACAGGAACGCTCTCCTGCCGACAACGCAAACGCTGTTTGTGGGAGGGGTGAAAGTGTTTTGTTGGGCAGAGAGCTGACAAACAGCGGCCACACTGCACGCCTTTTAGCGGCATGGCTGTAGCGACACAACCATTTTGCTAAAAGCTTTCTGGAATAGGGAGTGCTTCCTGTTGGGCTCTGTGTGTGGATGGCCTACTCTGTAGACATGCATGAATAACCGCAGGCGTTTGCTTTATGAAGCCATACATCTCTAAATGCAGTGTTGAACATATCCCTTCATCCCATTCTGACATGTAAAACATGAATAGCAGTAAAGCATGTAGTATAGAACAGAAGGGGAAATAACTATACTCTGCTCAACTTTCTGATCTGTCCATCTGGACTGCATTCCTTTGTTTTGCAGTTCACTAGTGCTGGGATTAGTATGTTATCCCTGCTGGGTGGCATGCAGCAATATTTATAAACCAGTTAAATTAAGAGATGTTTTTGCTGCTCAACGCATTTGCAAATAGATGAATATTAGCTAAATCTTGCAATTCCAGCCATCTCATAATGTTGATACACTCTGCCTTAGGTCAGTTAAAACTAGAACCACAAATGCATTTTGTAAATGGGGTATGAAGTTGGACTGTAGCTAAACATACCTTTGTAAGATGTAGGGCTGATGCAAATGTGGGTTTTTATTTTTTGCAGGTTTAAATGGAACGTGCAATAATTCTAGTGTACCAACATCAACTTCGGAAATGCCAGATTATTTATTGTAAGTATCTTCATTGTATCATTACCTTGGGATCCAATTCCAAACTATTCATCAAAACCAGCTGGTGACTAAGACATAACTAACTCAGTTATTTTCTGATTTCTATGTTAGAACTCTGTAAAAATTTATTTAAAAAACCAAAAACAAACCCAGGTATTGAATCCAAATTCACAAACGTATGGCCTTAAACTCCAACTACGTTTTACAGCAGGTTCTTCCTCCCCCCACCCCCAAATTCAAGGCTGTTTTCCCTGCAGTGGTTGATTACACCTACCCCATAAATAGCAATATCTAATTGTCAACGCCCTTGAAACACATTAATCCTGACAACCCGTTTGGAGGTCGGTAAACAATATCCTATTTTATAGATGGAGACCTTGAGAGGAAATAACTTGCTAGTATTAGACAGAAGTCAGTCACTTTCCCAGCAGTACTCTGGATTCTTAGGGTATATCTGAAAGATCATCTTGTTGCAAGGAAAACCCTGTACTGAGTTTGATGGGGAAGTGAGAAACTGCTTTTTAAAATGTTTGCTGTTAAGTGTATTTATCTGTAATGTTTTAGTGTTCACAAATATTGCTAATGATTTTAGTATCAGTCCACTTGTAAGCCAGGAACCTGTTTGTTCAATCAGTGTTAAATATGGCTCTAGATCCTTTTGTCCAGTCATTGACTGAATATGATATGAGATTTTATTTTTGCTGGTATCCTTGCTGTGTGGGTGGTGAGGATAGTGAGGTTCTATCTCCCTTTGTTTTAGTGACATCTGACCTGTTGTGTGACCTACTCACAAGTCTTTGTGGTGGTGTGTGGGTGAAAGATGGCTCCAGATAGGACGTTAATGGATAGTTGAATTAGGTGGGGAAAAGTAGCAGGCTCAGAATACCAGTTTGGGTTACTCCTCATAGGAAGGGTAATCCCTGGGTTATGGTGCCTTAGACTCCTTTTTTTAATCAAATCCCCCTGACTCCCATTAAGCAGTACTTGTTGCTATGGGTAACTCACATCTCTTCTACTTGAGTTTTTGGTATCAGAGGGGTAGCCGTGTTAGTCTGGATCTGTAAAAAGCAACAGAGTCAGATGTCTGATGAAGTGGGCATTCACCCACGAAAGCTTATGCTCCAATACGTCTGTTAGTCTAGAAGGTGCCACAGGACTCTTTGTCGCTTGAGTTTTTTGGCTGCTTCAAGCCAGATCTGTTTGTAAATAAAACTCCACACTTTCTGCTGTTGTGAAATGTCACTCAGATCTGGCACATATACCCCTGAATCGGGCAAGGTAGTGCTGCCAGCCCTCTTCTAGCCTCACTGGGTCCATTTTGGGGTACCCAGGGATCATGCAGCCTTGTGTTTCATGAAGAGGTGGAGAGGAGGGCATCCTTTATTCTTCTTGCAATGCAAAAATGGCCAGTCACAGCTTGGTGTATTAGAGGGTATGACGGTTTCCCATGCTCTAATCAAAGTGGTGGTTTTATTGGTGTATAGGAGAATTCACAACTGAGTTCTTTGAATGGATGTTGGCCCTGCTGTTGAAGAAATTGAGGACTGTTTGAGTGCAGCATGCATGTAAGATGTTACCTCTGATAGGCCACCATGTCTTTCTAGAGTGAGGAATCCTTGGGGGTTATACCCAGAGAGAGAAAACACCTGAGCTGCCAGCCATATACTCAACCTTGTCTTTGGGTCTGATTTGAATGTTTGATATTTGAGTCACTGAGTAGTCTGACCATCACCCCATGTGCCTGATACAGATGTGAAACCTTACCTCTGAGTGCCATTTTCTCAGTGCATGGCACTAATGCATATTCTAGATATTTGCAACGTACACTCCTCTCCAGCAAGCATCTGACTTCCTCTTCCAACCGGTATGTTGACCAGCTCAGTGACTGACCGTTATTAGCTGGTGGAAACGACCATCAGCTTGGTGGTTTCTTCACCCATATTGGTGGCTTCTTTTGCCTGAGGTCACTGTGGCTTAAGTTTCCAGAAATCAAACCAGTCAGGCTGTGATGAGATGGCCAGGGTGCATCACTGGAGCCGCCTCCTCGTTTGTGCAGTAAGTTTGTGGCAATTCAGAAAGACCAGGTGGGGGAGGTGGTAATGCTGATTGGACCAGCTTTTGCTGATGAGAGAGAGACTCTTTCCAGGTAGACAGAGCTCTTCCTCGGGTCTGGGAAAGGAACTTCCAGCGTCACAGCTGGAGCAGATAGAATATGTGCTAAGTATTTATGCTAAACTAAGGGACCATTCAAGGTGAAGTGGCCCGTTAACATCCTTGTATCATAGGACAAAAACAGGGGTGGGGGGTTAGTAGTTACAGGTTGTTGTAATAAGCCATAAATCCAGTGTCTTTATTAAGACCATGATTTTAAGGCTACGTCTACACTGCAAACCTCACAGCAGCACAGCTATGCTGCTGTGAGCTCTCCTGCGTCGTCGCTCTGTGCCGACGGGACAGAGCTCTCCCGTCGGTATCCTTCAACCACCCCAACGAGCGGCTGTAGCTGTGTTGGTGGGAGAGCCTCTCCTGCTGCCGTAGCACTGTCTACCCCAGTCGGTGAAACTTATGTCAGTCAGGTGTGTTTTATTTTTTTTTCACACCCCGACTGACAAAAGTTTTACTAACAAACGTGCTAGTGTAGACACAGCCTTAGTATCCAGCAGCTTATGAGGTTAAATTCCCGGGCTCATCTTTTGAAAATGTTGAGGGTGAGGATTGATAGCTCAGGTACGGAGTGATCGCTTTGTGTCCTCTCGCCTATGCAGTCTGCTGGGCAGTAGCCCAGTAAAACCACAACTTTGCAGCACAGAGAACAGTCGTATCCTCTAATAAACTGATAGGTAGCTGGGCCACTCGGAGTACCTTTCCCAGCCCCGAGGAAGAGCTCTGTGTATCTGGAACGCTTGTCTCTCACCGACAGAAGTTGGTCCAATAAACGATATTACTTCACCCACCTTGTGTCTCTCATTCTGGGACCAACGTGGCTATCACAACACTGCATACAACATACATGTCAATTCAGTCACTTTAGTGGTGCATCTTAATAAATTAGGCTCCCTTTAATACAGAGCGGTAGTAGTTCAGAGTCCTTCACTCTGTTCTCCTTCAGTCACTCAAGACCTGTGTTAGCCTGGCAGATCTCCAGCCCCCCCCGTCACTGCTGCAAAGAGTAAGGTGAGAGATTGGTGGTGTGACCTATGGTAAACTTGTTAAAGCAGATGTGAAGTCAAACATGGAGATGAAAAGGGAAGAGTGGTCGCTTATATCGGACTAGTTAGAAGGTGCCCTGCTGAAAGTCAGGTTAATTGTGTTTGATTAAACTGAGTGGCTTTTAAATGACCTACAAGATGTCCCTTTGGATATGCATGGGCACTCTGTGTGTTCGGTTTGTGCAAGGTATTTTCAGAAGGTGAAGAGGGGATATGTCCCCTTTTTTAATATGGGAAGTGCTGTGCCTTCTGTGTTCGTGCAGTCCCCAGACCAGTGGGGGCCCAGTGCTGACTGAGGCGTCCAGGTGCTGTTGCAATGCAAATAACACTGTTTGTCCTGGAAGGCAAGCACTTGCCAGACCTGCTTCTTTGAACTGCAGTAACATTGCTGCTTGAAAAGAGACATTTGTTGTAAACTGCTGTTTAAACTCTGTTCCCTTCAGAAAATATGCATCCATTTCCTCTTTGGAGCAGCGTCAGAGTTATAAGAATGACTTCAATGCGGAGTACAATGAGTACAGAGACTTGCACGCCCGGATAGAGAGAATAACTCGACGGTTCACCCAGTTAGATTCCCAGCTGAAGCAGCTTTCGCAAGGCTCTGAAGAATATAAGGTATAAGCAGGAATATCTGTTTGAAAACCTAACCCTGCCGCTCGCAGAGCTGTGGTTTGGTTGTAGTTCATGTGGCCTTCTTGTTGGGGTGTCTTGGGAGGACTTGCCTCAGGCACTGGGAGACTGTGTTAAATGCACTGTACACAGCCCAGAACTGATGGAGGCAGAGCGTTCATGCAGCTGACAGCTTTTCAGGCTGTTTGTACAACAGCCCTGTGTTCTTTCAGTTGAAACACACATTGTGGTACTTGTTGACAACGAGCAGCCTCCCTGAGACAATTGGTGTCCCCAGCCAAACCCTGCTGTATATCATTACATATTTCACCCATATGGGAGCTTATTAAAGATGGAAAGCGAGCTAATATGGGGTCATGTGTTTCTCCTGACGCTTTGATCTTAATAGTAGAGTATTATTCAACCTGTCAGACTGTTTTTAAGAGCTTTAACTATTCATTAGCTTGAGAAAATAAATTTCACTGAGGATAATAAACTGTTCTTTACGGAGCACTTCTTGTACTGCTCCAGTGTCCTTCACCTCCCCTGAAATACCCTTTGTTTTGCTGTTGCTTTTCTTGGGACAGCAAAATAATTCAACACTCGTCAGTGGAGGAAAGTTAAGCTACATGCAGAGTAGACTAGGTAGCTCTCCTCAAGAACTGCATTCTTGGGGCCTGATCCTTCCAGCACTTGCTGTCGGTGTAACCATTGCCAGGGTGAGTCATTGAAGCCAATGAAGCCACTCGCAGTAAAACGCACAGTAACTGTTGAAGGGGTCAGGCCCTTGTTTTGGATCAACTAATTGTTGGCCAGCTGTACATATTTCGGGCTCTGTCCTTGCCACATCTCCTCCACTAAACCATAGCTGCTTTTTTCCCTTTTGATATTGAACAGCCAACTCTTTTATGTGAATGCAAATATACATTTTTATTTATTTTGCCATTAAGTTAGCATATCTCCTGTACGCTGTAGTGGAAATTCTGAACTGGCCACTTTTCAATTTGGAAAGGGCCACGATGACCTAAAACACACCAAAATAATTCCAGGTGCAAGAAACGGGGGGGGGGGGGGGGAATATACAGTAATTCTTTCCATGTGATAGTTTGATAAACAGCGCCCTCTGGGAAAGAGGTCAAAGTGCCACTCACTAAAGTTGGTTCCAGTTGTATTGTTTTTATAGAAACAAAGAACTTGATGATGTCCTTTCTTTTTCAGACGATCCATGATCAAATTTTACAGGAATATCGTAAAATCAAAAAGGTGAGTGAAAACTCTCAGCCACAAATTAAAATAATCCCTTTCTCCACTTAGCAGGGACAAGGTTTAGCTCATGTGATTTGTCTGGTTGCAATTTGTCAGGAAGGAAAGGGCTCCCTCTGCTGGTTAGATGGGGCTCAATGGCTGAGGCAAGGCCCTTCAGTGAGATGTGTTAGCACTTCGTCTATGTTAGAATCATAGAATATCAAGGTTGGAAGGGACCGCAGGAGGTATCTAGTCCAACCCCCTGCTCAAAGCAGGACCAATCCCCAAACAGATCAGATTTTTGCCCCAGATCCCTACATGGCCCCCTGGAATGAGCTAAGTTTCTGTGTTAGTGCCTAGGATAGCAAAAGGGCACATCTGAGGCTTTGAGTAACAGTTATTGGGGTCCCCCTTGTTTTGTGGTGTCACTGGCATTTCTCAATGCATGACGATATAACTACGTTCAAAGTGGCTACTAATACAGATGGACTGGCCATTAAAATCGTCCACTGAGGATACTGGCCTGTTGGTTTTATTCTTTGTGTAGCACCTGCAGTGTGTTATGTGCCTCAGACATGTAAAACGACATGGTCCCTGCCCCGAGGGCTTGTAGTCTAGATAGGTGAGGTAGAAATGCAGGGGGGCAGTGTGACGAACTGGGACTGTTCTTGCTGGGGTGTGTGAATGCTGACAGGGGAGTGTGACTAGGA